ATACTGTGTATATTTGCTCCAAAGTGTTTCATCATAATATTTCAGCCTGAGAAGAACACCAAGAAATACCTAATGAATAAAAATTGAGTATACTATAAAAAAAATTGTTTTAAAACAAAGTTTCCCATGACATGGTCATGATGGTAACTAAAAATTATATTTAAGAAAGTTCTGCTATAGTAATATTTCAACATAATTTTTTTTATACTTCTCTCAATAAAATGTATTCTAAAAGTTTCCATTTTATGATGCTATTGTCATTAAAAAATTGTAATAAGCACATTTTCATAAATGTATTGTTTGTTTTAAGTTATTGGTCAAGAAACTGTTTTTTGAAAGGTTAAACAAAGTTAACATTTTCATGGTATATTATATATTATTGAAAATCACTTATAGTTCTACTGACACACAAGTTTAATGTGTATGTACCTTGAACTCAAACAAAACTGACCAACTGGAGATGAGCGACAACAGATTTGTTAAAACAAGTAAAAAGGGAATTACAATAATCTAAACGAGAAGAAATAAAAACATGAATACCATAAGTCTTGGACTATAGACTGCACCTGTTTCTAAGCCGCACATACGAAATATGATAAATCATAATTTTGTACAAAAATAAAATGCTGTGGTTATTTAGCCGCAGTCATCCACTGTTCATCATCAGGAACTGTGCCCAACCAGCTCCGATACAATGTGTGCTTTTTTGTTGTAGTACAAGAATCAGCCATCAGATGGCGTTTCACAGATTAAGGATTGCTTTCAACACACTTTCAGACTGCATGATCGTTCAGAAATCTTCATGATGCTTTGCCGTCTGACTCATTGTTAAAACCATTCAAACTACAAAATGAACACAAAAACTAAGCATAATCACTGGACAGAAAAGTGCCAAACACCTATGTAACCAAAATTATCTAAATATCATTGTTTACATCATTCATGTGTTTGAAATACGTTTTAACTGTTTGCTGAGCATTTAGCTGTTTGCCATGCGTTTGCAGCATCATGGTCGTCACAACCATTATATGTGAAGGGGACAAGTCCCCCCCACATTAAAAAAACGTTAATTTGGACCCCCCCCCCCCCCCCCCCCCCCCCACACACACACACACACTTTTACTATAAAACATTAGTTCAGGCAGCGCAGTTTCTCTTTCTTCGTGAACAAATCCAGTCCACTTGATTAATAGGAGAATATTCAAGCCACTAAAACTCCACTCCAGGTTTTCCTGGTTACCTCCACCTCTCCACCGTCCCTTCCTGCCTCTTTCCTCGGCAGAAAACGCGCACAGGTGGAGGTACCTGTGTTACTCGCTCGCCAGTTTAGCAGCTTAGTGTGGGCAGTGGTTAACCACGGGGGTTGATCATAAACATATATTCATGTTAGGAGGATGCTTGAGAGGAGCGCTACGTCTGTAGCGTTAGCTTAGCAGTAACTGTGACGCTGTCAGACGCTGAAGGTGTAAGAGACGCTGTGTGTTCAGGTGCATTAAAGTTGAAATGTCTTTAAAACCCCACACCTTATTGTCCTCAAATTTCATGAGAAACATCATTTAGATGAGTAGTGTTGAACACAAGTAAAAAAGTCCAGTGGTGATGTTTTTTTATTTCTCTATAAACACAAATAGTGCCGATCTAACGCTCTGTATTAAAATGTATTAAAGTTAAAATGTCTTTAAAATCCACAGATGATTTCACACAAACTTGGTGAGAAACATGTTTTAAATGTGTGGAATTAAAGGAAATCTAGGTGAAATGCTCCTTTTTTGTTCACTAGTGAACACGTTTTTTTACGTGCGCACACACGCGCGTGCACACACACCTACACACATCATTGTGTCCCCCCCCACATTACGGATGCTTCTGACGCCCTTGTGCAGCATGTTTGCACCTGTTTGCAGCGCGTTTCTGTCGGCCACCGTAAAAAATAGTGTCAATTTTCAAAATCTATGAATGTTTTAAAAGTGACTAAGCTTTGACGGAGTAAATACGTTAAACTCAACCCATAGTTTATCGACCGAACCCTTTATAATTAAACAGCTTTTAACGCTCAAATGACACAGTGACAGGTTTGTGTAAATGTCAAATGCAAAGCATGGCAGCTGTATGTCAGTTTTTTGTACATCTTGTGTATGTAACCACTAAACATTAGTTTAGCTAAATTAGGTTTTCTTATTATATTGCTGATTCACATCCAAGAACATCTAAATAGGTTACAAATCCATCCATCCAGCCATCCATTATTTTTTCCCGTTTTTTTCCTTTTCGGGGCCCAGGGGTCACTGGTGCCTATGTCCAGCCATCACTGTGCATGAGACAAGGTACACCCTGGACAGATTGAAAGTCCATGGCAGGGCCACATAGAGACAAACAGGACCAACAAGCATTTATTCTCTCACTCACAGCTAGGGACAATTTATGGCCCTTTTCTATTAGTAATGCTACACCATGGTTCGACTCGACTCGGCACGGTTCCAAGACTTTTCCAATAGCAACAGTTCATGGAACTGGTCCCTTTTTCAGTACCCATTGCTCTGGGGTTACAACTGGGCCAAACTGGCCATAAAATGTGACGCCAGAACACTGCCGGTCACTGATTGGTCACGGGGTGGAGTCAGTGGTTGTTTGAGAAATTTTCACAACAACCCGATCCGCCATTTGCAATAACTCGAACTTGAGGAGCGACTGGACCTATTTTTAAGATGTTATAACCAATAATGACAACACCGTGATCTAATGCTGAAGTACAGGCATTTTTTGGGCTTTGTGGCCAGCAACAAAATTCAAAGTGAGCTAGATTGAGCTCTGCTGGTCTCCCCCGGTCCTTTCCACTGGAGCCTCGGAGCCCCCTCAGGTCTGGCAGGGCATCATCTGTCTCTGGCTCCGAGCTCGGCTGGCCACTGCAGAAGATTCTCCATACTGCTAACTCGCAGGAGCAAAAAAAGGCTAGGGTCTGGGCCCCGGGCTCGCGCACTCCTGCGGGCTCCATGCTGAACCCGCCCACTAGAACCATTACTGAAAGTATAATGGAAACACAACTCATACCATGCCAAGCCGAGTCAAACCATGCTGTACCAGTACTAATGGTATGAATGGAAAAGAGGCATTAGAGTTACCAATCAGCCTAACATGCATGTTTTTGGTCTGTGGGAGAAAACTAGAGTACCCAGGGAAATCCCAAGCATGCTCAGAGAGAACATGTAAACTCCACCCAGATTTGAACCAGGGCAACCTGCTTGCTGAGAGGCAGTAGCTCTACCAACCATGCTGCCTAGGTTACAAATCCACACAATTAAATGTATTCCAACAATTTTCAGTCAGGTCATCTGGACAGTTTCTTTTTTTTTTTTTGTGCTGAAATGTTTCACTTTCCATCCAGTTTTGTGTTGTGTGTTTCCTTGACTGATGAAGCCTTCTGGATGGAAGGTGAAACGTTTCAGCACAAAAAAATATATAAAAGAAATAAAAGAAACTGTCCAGATAACCTGACTGAAAATTGTTGGATTGTATAACTGGATTATTGAGCATAGACTTTGTTAATTAAATTTATTGTAACTTTTTTTATATGCCAAGTCATCAATCATATTTAAAATCATAGACATGATCATGTTTAAGGGTTTTTGCAACATAAACTTAATAAGAAAGGAAGAACAAACAAAATGGGAAAAATAATGCTCAAAGATCTTATAATAAATGACAAGTAAAACAAATATAGAAAAAAGTGGGAACTATTACCGTGTAGGCTGAGTAAGATCATTGGCTGATGGAGTCTTGTTACTAATGAATGATCCTCTGACGTATGATAGAGGAGGTTCAATAACTAGTAAAAACACCCTTAGACCTCAAAGGAAATAGCTAAGGAATGGAAATCAGGCCTGTCTTTTGTAGTTTAAGGTTAGTTGTGATTGCGTTTGAACTTATATCTTTTGTTTTCATGGGTTGTTCCGTTAATTGTCTGAAACAAAAGATATATCCTACAGTTGGTCTGCCTGGTGCTGAAGTCAGTATTGAGGCTTCGTCAATGAAATGTACCCTGCAGAGTTCTCTGCGTTTACCTGCATTCTCAATGGATGGTGATTTTGTTGTTGGAGGGGTTTTCTTTTTACACTACAAAGCACAAACGGGGACTTATAACTACTCCACCAAGCCTGAGCCTCCAAGTTGCACAGGGAGGTTAGTAACATAAAGAGGTGGTAGAAAAGGATGTCACATGTGCATAAAAAATTAGATTTTCAACTATTTAAGAATTTGCTGTGATATTAAAATAATTGTTTTATTTTTTTTTAACAAATATTGCTTATGAATTGCTAAATTTTGTGTTTCTAAAAAAAAAAAGTCTTATTTTAGAAAATATTTTGTATATAAATGAGAATTGTGTGATATAAAATACAACTCTGTTTTGGATTATTTTTTCTTCTCTTTTTCAAAGTCTTGGGTAAGCAATCTTTTAGTTCATATTTTGATTTACTGACATATTGCTTTGCTACTCATTCAGTGCCAATATGCTAGCATTCTTGAATTGTATTTTTGATTATTTGCTCTTTTAGCTTTTATTTTTTATGGGTTTCTTTCTTGTTTTTGTTTCTTTTCTGTGAACATCAACACTCTCCTCATTGGTTTTGTGCAGCCTTATAGCCCGGGAACTGCGTTTCTCTCGTGCAATGATCTTTGCCATTGAGGAGATAAACAACAGCACAGAGCTGCTGCCGGGCATCAAACTTGGATATCAGATCTATGACTCGTGTGCTTCTGTGCCCGTGTCTGTTCATGTGGCATTTCAACTATCAAACGGCCAGGACCCTGTGTTTTACAAAGACAGCAATTGTTCACAGTCTGGTGTGGTGATGGCTGTTGTTGGGGACTCCGGCTCAACACAGTCCATCAGCTTGTCTCGCATCATTCAGTCATTTCATATTCCTCAAGTAAATTATCCAAATAGTTTTTGCAAAGATAAAATGTAAATATATATTTTTAGAATATTTTGAGTGGATTTTCTTTAATGTATTTTCTTCATATAGGTGAGCCACTTTGCCACCTGTGCCTGCCTGTCAGATAAACAGCAGTTTCCAACATTTTTCAGAACAATTCCCAGTGATCAGTTCCAGGCTGATGCTCTGGCAAAGCTCGTAAAACACTTTGGCTGGACTTGGATAGGTGCTGTCCGCTCTGACTCAGATTATGGAAATTTTGGCATGGCATCATTTCTTGATGCAGCTCAGAGAGAAGGGATCTGTGTCGAATACTCTGAATCTTTTACCTGGATCGACCCACTGAGCAAAATCCAGAAAGTAGCTGATGTTATTCGAAGGTAAAGCGTGTTCTATTGTAATGACATTGCCCCACTGAAGAAAAAAATAAATTAAAAATGTTTACTGCACAAAAAGAATAAAGTTGATTTGTTTAACCATATTTCTTTATAACATTTGCTTTGTATTACAGATTGTAAAAAAAAAAAAAAAAAGAATCATTATTGCAAAATACAGATCCACCTAATTTTTTTCTAATTATAGGATTAATAAATCATACATTTTCTAAATGTTGTCAGGCAAATATTAAGTTCACACTTTTGAAATGTTTTCTTAGGTCTAGTGCAACTGTAATAGTAGCATTTATACAATCTGGAGATTTGAGGGTCCTGTTAGAGGAGCTGGCCCGCGAGCCTCCACCACCTCGTCAGTGGATAGGAAGTGAGGGCTGGATCACTGACCCAAACTATTTGAGTTTCAGTTTCTGTGTGGGAGCCATTGGAGTTGCCATTCAGCAATCTGTCATCCCAGGGCTGAGAGACTTCCTGCTGGATCTCTCTCCCATTGAAGTAGCTGCCTCCTCACTGCTTACCGAGTTCTGGGAAGAGGCATTTAACTGCAGCCTGACAAAAGGTGAGAAAACTTCACTGATTTTTGTTTTGTTTGTTTTCCTTCCTACATGGCAAAAATTGAGAATGCATTCATGATTTTTTTTTAAAATAAATACAACAATGCCTTTTGTTCGACTTTCTAATTTTTTTTAGCAAATCTCTGCATGTAATTTAAAAAAAACAACGTTTTTTATAATCAGATTTTTTTCTTAGTAGCATCTGAACAAATATAACAATGATTTATTTTCCCCTAAAATGTTTTAAATGCCTCAGGTAAGATTTTCTTTTATCTTGACAATAATATCTGATCAATAGAGAAGTTTAAATCAATTTTATAGTAATATATGTAAATGTACATGTCTGTGTATTTATACAGCTACTCTCATTTTATTTTAGTGTTGTAGAAGATGAAAAAAATCTGCCTCTGTCTTCTTTGTCTTTAGTTGCTGGTCCACACAAGAAACTCTGTGATGGAACTGAAGACATAAAAACTCTCAAAACCCCATACACTGAAACATCTCAGTTAAGAGTTACTAACATGGTTTATAAAGCTGTTTACGCAGTAGCTCATGCCATTCACAATGCAGTGTGTCAAACTAATGCTACTCAGTGTGATAAACACATCAGACTGCAGTCAAAACAGGTTAGTTCTATTTCACTTAAATAAGACAAGATAAATCTTTGATACTCATCCTTGTAAATAAAAACTGAAAGAATGTGGATATTGCCTTCATTGGGAATTGTCTAATTTCCATTGTATTTTTTAAGGTTTTATCTGAACTGAAAACAGTCAACTTTTCTAAAAATGGTTATCCAGTGTCATTTGATGCTAATGGTGACCCTTTGGCTTTTTATGAGCTGATCAACTGGCAGAGGAGTGAAAGTGGAGTTATTGAGTTGGTAAAAATAGGATACTATGATGTGTCACTGCCAAAAGGACAGGAGTTCAATATCATCAGAAACATAACCTGGATGGGAGCTGGGACCAAAGTAAAAATAACAATTTGAGATGTGAGAGAAGACTGCAAAAATGCTAAGTGTTACAATATTTTTGTCTTTGCTACAGGTACCTCTGTCAGTGTGTTCTGAGAGTTGTCCTCCAGGAACTCATAAAGTGTTGCAGAAAGGAAAACCCATCTGCTGCTATGATTGTATACCATGTCCTGAAGGAGAGATCAGTAATATGACAGGTAACATAGGTTTTCCACAAATATTTGAATTATTAAAATCTGATTAATAAAAGCTGCATGAAATGTATTTATTTTTTAGATTCTTCTGATTGCTTTCCATGTCCCATTGAATTCTGGCCCAATGCAGACAACGATGCTTGTTTCCCCAAACCTGTGGAATTCCTTTCCTTTGATGAGTATCTAGCAATCATCCTGGCTGCTATATCTATAATTGGAGCCTGTTTGGCCATCATAACAACCATTGTTTTTGTATGTCACAGAAAAACTCCAATTGTCAGAGCCAACAACTCTGAGCTGAGTTTCCTGCTTCTCTTCTCTCTGACTCTGTGTTTTTTATGTTCATTAACTTTCATTGGAGCTCCCTCTGAGTGGTCCTGCATGCTGCGACACACAGCTTTTGGTATCACCTTTGTTCTCTGTATCTCCTGTGTTCTTGGTAAAACTGTGGTGGTTTTAATGGCCTTTAAAGCTACACTTCCAGGTAGTAAGGCCATAAAATGGTTTGGGCCACCCCAACAAAGAATGATTGTAGTGTTTTTCACATTTATTCAAGTTTTAATTTGTACTGTTTGGTTGGTTCTCAGTCCTCCATTCCCAATGGAAAATCTGATCACATACAAGGAGAAGATCATCCTGGAATGTGCATTAGGCTCTGCTGT